TGTTATCTTTACTGCCTTTGTTGTCCCTGCAGGTTCCTCTTTGAGTCACTGGGCTTCGTGGTGAGCAGCATCTGCCTCCTGCTGGGGATCTCCCTGGTGATGCGTGTGGACTGTGCCGTCAGCACCTGGTTCAGCCAGCTTCAGCTCAGGTAGCATTGGAGATGTGGGGAACCTGACCTGCTCGTTGGCCAAGGCTGTGGTTGTCTCCTTGCCTCCCTTGGGCTGGGAGGGGTACACGAACCACCAGCAATGAGTGCCTGCTGACAGCAGTCAGGGGTTATCTCCAGCTCCCTGCCTCAGCGCTGCATGAAAGGACCGGAGCCAACTGTTTCCCGCTCACTGTGGTGGTGTTTCTCAGAAGTGGAGGTCAGAGCTCTCTCTCGGCGTTTGTTGGCAGCAGGAGGACTCTGCTGCAGGAGCACAGGAAGCAAGAGTCCTGAAGTGCTTCTCTGGAGAAACACCAACCAGGGGTCTTGCTGCTACTTTCCTGACAGCTGTACCCACTGTGCAGCTGGTCAGCTTCAGTGGCCAGCAAGGTGTTACCTTGTCTGTGCAGAGACAGTGACTCACGGGAAGGGGCCTGCTGAGGAGGGAAGAGGAGGCTGGAGGGAGAGGAGTTTGGGAGGAGAGGGAAAGCCCTACAGCCACCACTTCTCTTCGTGTGCTTAGGTTTCATCCTGGAATCAAAGTGCACATAGTTACACATGCAGATGGTTCCTGGGGTCTCGGTGGCAGCTGCTCCTCTGTAAAGTCAATTGGTTGCTCTGTAGTGAGTCCTCTCCTGCCTACGTTCACTCCCATTTTCCTTGTCTTCCTCAGCCCTACAAAGGGCAGCGGGGGAGCGCTATGGGCTGCCTCATACAGCCTGAAGCAGGCTTAACTTGTTGGTGGCTTGGTAGCAGGAAGAACAATGTCCCTGACCAGGAAACTCTCCACTTGTGTTCTCAGCCAGTTAGTGTCTCCGTGGGCTGGGCTGTAACAGTCGGGGCTCCTGATCTGTTACTGAGTGTGTGCTGCGGGATTCCGGCTGTTGATGGTTGAGATGCAGCAGGATGTAGTGACAGAATGTTGGCTCGTGCCCATATTGTGTCTGGTCAGGAGGAAAGGAGTCTGGAGTAGCTGTCCCAGCTGCAGGAGTGGCCCTGGTGTGAGGTCCGGTGCCGGGGAACAGCTGCCTGAAAGCCCTATCCAGGCGACAACTCTTCTGGGAGGTGGCTTAACTCACTGGTGTCTGTGTATGTGCTGGGAGTTATGTCACCTTGAAGGGACCCCAGGCTCTGCAGCCGATGGCATCTGTGATCCCATATTTGGTGCTTATCTCCCTCTTGACCTTGGTGTTCTGCCTGGGACTGCATGCCACAAGTGAGCTACCGCAAACCCACCCTTGACTCCTCATAGTCATGAGACATTACATTTCTTTCCTCATGGGCAGAGATAGAGGACAGTGACCATGGTGCCTGGGCACATTGCAGCTAAGTTCCCTCTGCAGTTTTGATGTGAGCTGGGATGTCTTACTGCCTGGAACCACTGTGTGGCGTTACTTGGTGCTATGAAATGTTTCATCTCTTCCTGCTCTGCAGAGAGCTGAGGACTGCTTGCCTGGGATTCTTGCATTGATTTTTGTTCTAATCCCATTTGTTTTTTAACTCACTGCCCCTGTCTGAGTTCCTCACTGCAGACTGCTAGCATAACCCCACGCTCTTCTTGTCCTCTGCCCTGGAGAGTCCCAGGGAAAGTATCTTGTCACCTCTCTCATCATTTCAGTTCTTGCTGTTATGTCCGAGCACCCAGTTGCTGTGGGAAACGACTCCTGAGGACAGGTTTAGTTTTGTGTTTTACTCCTGCAAAATGCTTGCTTGGTCATTAGGGTGCAATTCCAGGGAAGCTTAAACTGCTCTAATTTTGGATTTCCATTGCTTGGCCCCCTCCTGGCCTGCTGGCAGTGCTCTCCCACCTCAGCCTTGTATCCCTCCTGCCCTGTGGGCCTATTCTCCTTAATTTCACCCAACACAACCAGGGACTAGCTGGCGTGACTTCCTGGGATGCCTTGCTGCCTGGATGCATGCACACCAGTGCTAGTGCAAGGCAAAGGGTAGCAGCATGCAGCGCTGGGAAAGCTGGAAGAGGCACGAATGCATCAGCCCACAATTAGATGGGCTTAAGCAGTCCCACCCTTAAAAATAGGTTATTTGCTATATACTGTGAGCCCTTGGTGGCCAGAGGGTTTTTGGTGCTGAGGGGGACATACTGATGGGTGAGGGGTGCATTGGTGAGGAGAAGAGGAAGAGAATGGAGGTAAGAGCTGCCCAGTGACTTTTTATTTAATGTGAAGTTAATCTAGATAACATGTCACTAAACCCCAAGGCTGGAGCTCAAATAGGTCTTCTTGTAACCTCATAACCTGATCACGATCTTGCTGCCTGAATATTTGTGCTGGCAGAAATCCTTATGGTCACTAATGCTGTAGAACTGGCCCCTGACATCTCTGCAGCTGCTACCCAGGCCCCTGGGCTTCCTTCTATCCCATCTCTGGGACTAGTTCCTCTTTCAAGAGTCACCATAATGCTGCTGTGCCTTCTTGTGCCTGTTGTCTGTGGTCGGAGCACTCAGCCGGCACTTGGGCATCCTCTCCTCGTCCGTCCATATCGCCCCTCTGCCTTCCTGGTTGGGCTGTAGGCCCACAACCCTGGGAGGCTGGGGCAGAGCAGAGGGGACAGCAGAGCTGCAGTGCCATGGAAACACACACAGCTAGAGAATCACAGAACGGTTTGGGTTGGAAGAGACCTTAAAAATCATTTAGTTCCAACCCCCTGCCACGGGCAGGGACACCTTCCACTAAAGCCGGTCGCTCAAAGCCCCGTCCAACCTGGCCTGGAACCCTTCCAGGGAGGGGGCAGCCACAGCTTCTATGGGGAACCTGTGCCAGTGCCTCACCACTCTCATAATGAATAATTTCCTCCTTATATCTAATCTATAATCTACCCTCTATCAGTTTAAAGATGTTACCCCTTGTCCTATCACTACACTCCCCAGCTTTCCTGTAGCCCCCTTTAAGCACTAGAAGGCTGCTGTAAGGTCTGTCAGAGCCCCTCTTCTCCAGGCCAAACAATCCCAACTTTCTTGGCTTGTACTCATCTCGCCGGAGACTAAACAAAACTTTCAGTAACAAAGCTGCAAGTACATTCTTATCACTGCAGAGATGCCAAAGAGTGCTAGCTGCTCGGCCAAGGCAGACTGGCAACTACACCAAAGAACTAAGATTCAAGAAGATGAGTCTTCCAAGGGCTGGAGATGCTCTTGCTTTCTTTCATTGACTTTTTCAGTCTTTGCTAGCCTTCCCCAGCTGCCCTCAAGCTGACTGTTCGGCTGCTGTTCTGAGTGTGCCAGGGATGACAGATTTTATATTGCTCCAGGGCTTGACCAGACCAGACATGACTGTCTGTTGATTTGAAACCCCAAGGAACGTCCAGAGGAAGGTACACGCTAATCCAAACCAAGACTCTCTGGGAAGCCTGGTGTGCTGGGGAACAGGCTCTGCCCTACGTCCCCCTGCTGAGTTTGTCACAGGAGCCTGCTGGGTCTTTCCTGCAGCACTGATTCCAAGCTTTTTGTCTCTGGTCCCTGTGTCCCTGAGCGTGACAGGGGAAGTGTCATCCTCGGCCCGCTCAGCAGAGCGGTTTCATCCTGCACTCCCCAAAGCTTCTGCGCTGTGGGGGTGTTGTGTGTGCTCTCCTTGGCAGGGGTCCTGCCCAGCACCCTGTCCCTCTGGGCAGGGGAGAGAGCTCCGTGGGGAAACTTCCATCATTGGGACCCTGTGTCCCGTGGTCCTGGCGTGGGGCAGGGCTGGAACTGTGTCTCGCTTGTGCCGCCTGGAAAATGGTGACGGAAAGCCGCCACCACTGCAAAAGTTTGTGGCTGTTGGCAGCATCTCCCCGCCCTGACCCGAGGGATGGCACGGCTGCGGGGAGGTCAGGGCTCCGTGTTTCTGTCACATCTCTGCATTCTGCCTTCAACGCTTCAGACTGCTGTTCTACACCGAGGCACAGTCACGTTTTCGGGGTGTGCGTCTCCCCTTCCACAGGAAGCGGGGCTGGAGAACCGTGCTCTCCCCCCGCCGCCCTGAGCTCTGGCTTGACTTGCCACGTGGCTTGGAGTGAGACTTTTGGTTTTTGTTATTCACCTCACTGTGCCTCGGTACCCCATTTGGGATTAAAAAAAAAAAAAAAAAAAAAAAAAAAAGGGGATGGAGCCAGTTCTGGAAAGCAATGCAGGAGCTCTGCATTCAGCACAGTGCTACGCTTTCCGGGGTTATCTGTACATATCTGGCCATTAGCGCTTTTGTTCCCATTCAGCAGCTACACCCGGAAGATAGAGGTGATGCTTGAAGTCTCTGCTGGGAAGTAGAGCCTTTTTTACTTCAAAAAAAAAAAAAGAAAACAAACAAACAAACAAAACAAAACAACAACAACAACAAAAACACGCACACAAAAACCAACCAACCAAACAAACAAACAAAAAAAAGAACAAAAAAACAACCAAACAAACCCAAAACCGGGCAAACTGGCATCACTCATACGCTGCAGCCGGGGGGCTGCGCGGTGCCCAGCGCGCTGGAGGCAGCCGGGGGTGCCGGTGGTTGGGGGGGGGGGGGGGGGGGGTGAGGCGCTTCATTAGGAAATGACTTAATTACTTAACCGGCGCGAGGGGAGATTTGCTGTCGGAGGAGCGGCGCGAGGCACATGGGCGGCTGCGAAACGGGCGTCTGCAAATAAAACCGTGAGGTCGCCGGGTGGCTCGTCTCTTCCTCCGTGCTCCCCGGTGCGGGCGGGGTCCCCGGTGCCCCGTCCGCCGCCTTCCTGGCGCGGAGCTTTGGTCCTCCGCGGCCACCGTCTCGCCGGCGGGACGGCGGCTGGCTCCGCTCCGCCCTCCCCGCTCCTTTCTCTCTCCACGATTGGTTGTCGCCTTGACGAGCGTTGCTTCCGTCCAATGGCGGCGGGGCGGGGGGAGAGCGGGCGATGGCGGCGGCCATGAAGCGGCGGGGCGGCGGGCCGGGCTGGGCGGCGAGGTGTCTGCGGGACTGGGCGGCTGAGAGCGGGGCCCTGGCCAAGCGCTGGCGGGTGCTTAAACGTTCCCTTCCCCCGCGCCGTTCCGGGAGCTTCCCCGAGCCCGTTGCTGTGGGGGCGCCGCGGAACGGGACGCGGGTGTGGCGTCCCGGGGCCGGCCCCGTCGCCAGGCCGGTGTTGGTGAGTGTTTCCCTTGCAGGCGGCGCAGCGCTTGGGGCCCGGCAGAGCGATGGCGCTGGAGATGCAGCAGCTGCGAGGCGGTTTTGGGGAGCTGCTCGTCAAGATAAGGGGTGAGTGGCGGGGTGGCTTTGCCTTGGCCGTCCCGGAGCCCAGCCGCCCGTGTGTGGGAGCACCGATTCCCGGCCACGGAGGGGTTTTACTGGGCTGCAGCTTCGGTATCCCAGCGCTGGAAACAAGCTTGTGAGGGGAGGGTGCTTAAACGTTCCCTGCTGCCTCAAGCTGAACTGGGGCTGCAAAGGGATTAAGGACCAGCCCCAACATCTAAGCTAATCTTGCTGAGGAATGTGAGAAGAGTTTTGGGGTTTCTGGCAAGAACGAGGCGACCTGTGTCCTGTGAAGCTGGGGAAGGGACTCCCTGCCACAACGGTGGTATAGAGGAACACTGATGTGAGGGGGAGAAAGAGGCAGTGTGGGAGACCTGAGTCAAAGCGTGGATGTGTATGGAAAGAGGGTGGGCTATTGGTGGTCTTTTGGGAGAGCTGCAAAGTCTCAGTCCTGGAGGACTGCAGCACCCACATGGCAGGGGAAAGGATGTCTAAAGTAGTCTCAGCACTTGGAGAAGTGACATATGCTGTCTCTAGGTACTGCAATTTCCAAGCTGTTAAATCTTACCACAACAACCAAAAAAAATACTTGCGAGGACACTTCTGTTGTCACAAAGCTGGGTGATGACACCTTAGTGTGGATGGCTGTTGGGTTTTTCCTAGCCAGCTCAATTTCTTGTTGGGTTTGTGATCACAGGGCTGCCACCTGCCATCCCCACTCTGCCTCTGGAGCTTACTGTCATCTACAACTCCTCGCTTCTTGCTATGAGAGCATACGACTCTGCGAGTGAAGGAGAAGCAGAAGTAATACGCCAGGGGCTCCTCAGGGGTAAGGAGACCGTTCTCTTTCAGGGGGCTGCTCAGCGTGGGGTCATGCTTTGAAGATGTGGTGGAGGGGCTGTGAGCAGGGACGCCTGGCTCTGCCAGGAAGGGGGCAGCTGACCTCAGGAGGACTTGGCAGAGCTGGAGTCATAGCTCTGAATCTCTGTGTTGTCTCCTGAGCGTCCCACTGTTAACTCCACTGTCCAAGAGTTTGGTTTCCATGCTGCTGAGGCCAGACCAGCCCTGAAACTTCATTCCTCTCCTTGCTGTGAGGAGTTTGTGCTTGCTTGAGGCTTTCCTTTCCTCTTGGGATGGGTGTCTTACAGGGTACCAACCTTTTGTCTCATTGCTGGTTTTTTTTTGGTTTTGGTTTTGTTTTTTTTTTTTTTTTTGTTTTGTTTTGTTTTGTTTTGTTTTTTTTTTTTTCCTTCAGTTCTGGAGGCTCATGGGGCCTGCGGGCAGGATCTTAGCATCGAGGAGCTATGGCAGAAGGTGCTGCAGGAGGTAACTGTGAAGGAGCTGCAGGCATCTTTGCACCGGCTGGGAGCTGTGCAAGCAGCGTGGTGGCTGGCAGCCAGCTGCCTGGGAAGCACTGTCAGCCTTTTCAGGCTCCTGAGCAACACTGAGGTAACTGGGCACAGGCGGGTGCTGCGCAGCTCCCAGTTACCTGCACTGGAGGATCTGTGCAGTTATAAGTACCCGTGGGTTTGCTGAGGGAGGCAGAGCTAGCATAAATACCCTGCTTGTCATAAACCCCACTCTGCAGAACGTTGCTGTGGCATTTGGAGACTTGAATCCATCAGTGCTGCCCAGTGAGTGTGAGTAATCCTCTCCCTGGTGTCCCAGCGTAGCCTAATGGCCCCAGACTATCTCATGCCTGTCAGGGCCCTGGACCTCAAGGTCAGACAAAGGTAGGCTGGAAGGACTTGCAGCCCCTGAAAGGAGCAAGCTGTGAGCAGCGGGATGCAGAGGAACTTTCCCTGCTGATTGTGAGGCTACTGAGGAGTCCCACCTTTTCAAACATCCTCCAACAGCACTTGGATCTGCCTTGCCAGGAGCCCCTTGAGGTGCACCTCGCTCTGAGGTGGGGAGGTGCCACCCTGGGCCAGGCAGGAATCCTTGCAGCAGGGGGGTTGTAGCTGTAATGAGGGTGTAGTAGGACGTTGCCCCCCAGCACAGAGAGCACAGTTGAAGGGTTTGGTGAGACCTTGTTTTCCTGTGCCCTGGGATCAGTTGTTTCCTGCTTCCGTTCAGCATTCCCTGCTCTCTCTCCTTTGTGTATTCACAGGGCCAGGGAACAGCTCACTGCAGCAAGGGGGAGAACGAACTCCTCTCCCTGCTCAAGGCATGGCAAGTACCTGCTGAGCAGGCCTCCCTGTCCCTTCTACAGAGCACCAAGTACTTGAAAGAGATCCTCTTCACTGCAGCAGCCTTCCTGCAAGGTTTGTGTGGAGGAGATGCTCATGCCAGCACAAGCTCCCACAGCTCTCCTGTCCAAGAATGTCCTCTCCCTGCACTTGTCCGTGTTTCTCTTCCCAAGCAAACCAGCCCTTGGGGTTTTCTGAGCTGTTCTTTAGAGGGCCTGGGCTGAGCCTCTGGGTCTCAGCTTTGCCATTTGGTATTCTAAGAGCTTGTCTGCATTTTCCCCAGCTAAGTCTTTCTCTGCACTGCTGCAGGGTTCCTCTGCCTGTCTGTAGCTTTAGGTAGTTGTCTGGGCCCTGTAGTGATCTTGTATAAAACTGAGGGCTGGCGGGGGCCGTATGAGGATCTTCCTTTCTTCTGTCTGTCTTCTGGCACTTGCCTTGTTGCAAGCATGTTGTTGCTGTTGGATTACGGTGCTGCAAGAGCCACACAAAGCTGTTGTGCAGCTTTGTAGCCTGGTGTCACAGCAGGTGACCGATCTTGTGTGACTGCTGCATTCTGTCATGCTCGTGGTGTACCCTCACTTACTGTTTTGACAACCTCCAGCAGCGCCGGGGGTAGCCAGCAGTGCCTCGCTGTACTCAGGCTGATGTGGGGCCTTCCTGTGAGGAGGGAGGGCAGGAGCTCCTGCCCACAGACCCCTCAGAAGCCACCAGGGTGGTGATAACACTTCCAGCAGGGAGGTGGCAGATGTGAATGTGATGTAGGCATGTGAGAGCAGCCTCTGAGGGAAGCTTGAAATGGGGACTGGCAGAGAAGCAAATACTGTTTGTGAAAAATATTAATGAATTAATATCCCAAAGCTGGGATCCCTGCTGGGGAATGGCCCAGATGTGATGGAAAATGTCTTTTTGAGATTTTGTGTGTGCTTCCCCACCTGCACAACTGTTGCTGTGGATAAATGCACGGGTGGAGGACCTGCCCAGCACCTACCTCTGCCCTTGTTCTGGGCCAACACAGGCATCTGGGTATCTGGGCTTGGAAGCTGCTGTTATTTCTGCTAGACGTTTCCATCACGTGCCTTGTTCTCTTGCAACACCAAAGATGGCAGCTTGGCACCATCCTGCTGTGCATTGCTGGGTGTGGAGGTGATCAGGCAGGTCCCTATGGCACTGGGAGGAAAAGGGCACGTACGCTTGTTTGGGGACTAGGTGGGGTGGGAAGGGGAGCTGCAGAGCTGAGATGTTGGGTCTATCCTAGGGCTGCAGCAGCTGGAGGCTGGGAACTTCCCCACTGCCTTCTCCCTCCTTCAGGACGCTGCAGGAGGATTCTGCTCCAGGATGGTCCTGGCCCAGATCTACACCTGCCTTGGCTGCTGTGCTCAGCGAATGGTAATGGCCTGGTCTCTCCCCTGCCAGCAGGGAGAGGGGAACCTCAGCCTAGAGTGGGGTGGGGAGGCTCAGGCTTATGTTCACACTGCCTCTGTGTGGTCCTAGGCTGCTGCAGGAAGGTGAGGTCTTGAGCTGAAGTTGCCCTTGTGGCCCCAGCCTCCTTGGACAGCTGCAAAATCCAGGCAGGGATTTTGGCTGAGTGCAAAGGGTTGCTGCTGAGAGAGAAGCTCAAAAACCAGGCTGAGGAGGGCTGCCTTGGGCTAACGTGCTGCCCTTGCTTAGTGGGGATTGCTGGGGAAGCAGAGCAGGGATCTGGATCACACCGAACAGTAAAGATGTCAGCAAGATGTCCTTGCAACATGCACCTCTTCCCACCTAACTAGGGCAAACCTCAGACTGCCCTTCAGTACTTGAAATGGGCCCTCCAGACAGAATTCCAGTGCCTTCCTGCCCTGTTCCACGTGGCAGCAGTGTACCACGAGCTGGGGAAGACCGATGCGGAGCTGCAGGCCCTGGCTCTGCTCTATGAGGTTTGTCTGCTTCCTGTACTTCTGGGTTGATTTTTGGCTAGCAAAGACTGCAGAGCTTCAAGCAGGCTCCTGCCTTCTGGGGGTCTGTTTCAACCTGGAGGGGTCCTCCAAGTGATCTAGCCATGGTGCTGCCTCCAGCAGTGGGCAGGAAGGAGCCCAGCAAGATCTGAAATTCCTGCTCAGCACCTGGAGGTTGGATATGGCAAGACCTTTGAGTCCCAGTTCATGTTCTTGGTGGCTTGGGAGAAGAGGCTACACTCTTATGTCAGAAAGTATCAGTCTCTTAATAAAGTATCTAACAGTAAAGAGGCCTTTAAAAGGCTGGGGCTGTGATGGGGTGTGCATTACCAGCAGCAACATTGATCTGCCTGGGAGGATCAGGTCACAGCAGTAGACACGGAGTTAGCTCTTCTGCTGTTTGAAATTGTTAAGATACAAACACAGCTGTCGAGAGGGGTCTCTCTCACTACAAATTGCCCAAGACCTGGTCTAACTAGGTCTGCAGCTGCAATGGGAGGTGGTGTTCCAGGCAGCTCAGAGCATCTTGAACTAAAAACCTGAAGTGATCTGGGTGATACTGCAAATCTCCTGATGCCGTATAGAGATCAGAAGTCTGCCTCTCCCTTTGTGATCCTGGTGGATCTTCCTGGAAGCAACTGTGCTGTAGCAAGTGAGAACAGTGTAGCTGTGCTTATGAAGTGCAGTGCCTGTGCTCGTCTGGGTGCACTGCCAGGTGCTAGAAGTGGCAAGTGATTGCAGCTGCTCAGGACTTGGCCTGTGTTGTGTTGACCATATTCTTTGTTCCTGTTTCACAGGCTCTGGAAGAAAAACCTCCAGCAGCTGCTTCCTCTACCCCATATTTCCTAATCCAAATAGAGCTTCTTGTCCACACATCAATACTAGCTTCTCTCCTTCGCCATTGCCACCCCTCTGAAGTGAAGTACCTGCTGGCACAGCGGTGTCTCCAGGAAGGGAGGTAACAGTGCCTCTGGACTGCTTGCAATATGCTGCTTGTTTGGGCTCTGGGGTTTTCTCTGCACTCCTGGAAATCATCGAGTTCAGTACTGCTGTTGTAGGTCTGCTCAAAGCATGAGGATCATGACCAGAGTGAGTGGTGCAGGGAGAGCCTGTGGGCTGGCAATCCAGGTTCCACCTGGCTGCTGGCACTTCTTGGGGTCCCTCTGTGCCTTCCACCCCATGTTCTGTCCCTGTTGCAGGGTGGCCGATGCAGTGGAACATTACCTGGATTTTCTGGCCCTGCTTCAGGAAGGGCTACAGCAGCAGGTAGGTGTCCTGGTTAAAGAGCTCCCTTTGTGACTTGGTAGATGAGGTTTGGATCCCCATCCTAAGGCCTGGGCCCAGGTGTCACCCTTGGACTCCAGTTTTCAGTTTCTCATTTGAGGTGTGAAAGAAACGAGGTGGGGGCTGACACCTCTGACCTGATGCCTTTGGATTCACACCAGAGACCACTTTCCACTGCTGTTTGGAAAACAGCTTCCCCTTTCCTGTGGGGAGCAGCTGTCAGCCTGGTTTTGGATGCCCTTCACTTCAAGAGTAGGGATTTGTCACTTTGACTCTGCTGAGCTGTTAGCGCTCCACAGCTTCTGCCTCCTCCGACAGGCTCCAGTGTCTGTGGGAGTGCATCTGAGCTTTGCTGGGCAGCAGCTCTGGGTTCCCAGTACGCACAGGGTCATTCTGCTTGGCTGGGTGCTCCACAGTTCTGTGTCTAAACACTGCCATCTCTTTTCCTCCCCAGATACCCGTAGGTGGTAGCTCAGCCCTGCCCAGGATCCCCGAGGTGTTCCTGGAAGCAGCGTCTGCCTTGGGGCAGGCTGGGAGGCACCAGGATGCCATAACTGTATGTGAGGAAGTCATCAGCCGTACGACTGACCTCGTCCCACGGATATTACGACTGGAGAGGCTGGAGTGCCCATCACCAGGGGCAGGGCTGGCGGGTGGACTCCTGTCCCAGAAGGAGAGTCTGTGTTGCCTTATCTGGAGAACAGCTGGATACCTGCACCAGGGCTGGGCATGGGCCAATCTGCATGAGAGGAAGGAGGCTGTAATACAGTTCAGCAGGTGACAAAGCCTGGCTGAGAGAAGGGGTCTCCCCAGCAGGCAGCGTGGTTGGCGGGGGTCAGAGCAGGGTGCAGCACAGCATGGGGCCTGGCCTGACAACTTGCAGCTGGCTTCCCAGCCCAGGAGTTGTACCAAATCTCCTTTGTCCTCTCACCTGCAGGTGCCTTGGCGATCTCTTGCGAGTCCAGCTTTGTGGGTCTGGTGAGCTGAGAGGTAGGACGCTGCACAGCTGGGACCTGTGCAGGGCCTGGCTGGGTTGGAATCTGTGTGGTTGGCAGCAGTGAGTACAGGAGCAAGGTGCTAGGCTCAGCGTCACCTCTGGCAGGAGACATCAGTCCCAGCGTGCTGAGCTCTGTGCCACGCTGAAGCCTCTGAAGGGACTGGCTGGTTTGGCTGGAGCAGGGTTTGGCCTCTGCTTTGCCTCCTTCCCCGCTGTCTAGATGACAATAAAATGGGCTGTGATCTGGGAAGCTTCTCCAGTCCCGACTTCAGGGAAGAGATCTGTACCAGTTGTGCTGATGGGCAAAGGCCAGGCTGCTGCCGAGCTCACTGTTCACCACAACCATATCATGTACCAAACTCTGGGCATTCTTTACTCTCACCCTCTGCCACCTCCTGGCCTCTCCCAGCCAGGCAGAGAGGCTGAGCTCTGCCTCCAGGGGCTTGGGTAGCTGGAAGATGAGCAGCCCAAATAAAGGCTTGGCCTGTCCTGACTGCTAACCTGGCTCAGCCTGCTGGGACAAGGGAGTGAATGTCTGGAGGATGCTGACTCCAGGTGTGTGCGTCTTTCTGTGCCAGAGAACCTTGTGCCAGAGAATCTCCTGTCAGAAGTGGCGGTGCTCCAGAAGATCAGGTTGCTCTCTCTCATCGGGCGAGGTGCGCAGTTCCTGGAGCTGGGGAGGCACAAGGAAGCCTTGCTGGATTTCCAGCATGGTTTGCAGATCTCGCCAGGTAAGAGTCTCATTTTGGTGAGGAACAGAGGGGATTTCCACGAATTTTTCCTGGGCTGCTTTGCTGTCTTCAGCAGAAGGGTCTTATGCTTTAGATCACGCTTATTTGGATGTCGAGGACTACACTAGAGGTACTAACAATGTTACATACTTGAGATGCTTCTCTGGGGCCTGGCCAGCTCACTGTCCTGGAGAAGCAAACTAAAAATTACTGTCAGAGGAATGTATCAGAACCTTTCCACAACCTGTGCTCTGAGACAGCTTGGAGATTTCTCTTCCTGCCCAAACCCTAGCCTGGTACAGCCAGCTTTCTCCCAGGGAGCATGTGCTTTCCCAGAACAACTAGAATCTCGCTTCATCCTAGGAAACAATAGGCCTGTGTGTGGCAGGCCAGAGGCTGAGTATGGAGGCCTGTCAGGGGAGAGGGGAGAAGAGCAGAGAGCCGTACGTGTCCTGAGCACAGCCAAGGCATGACCAGATCTGCTCCCGGTGGTGGTCTCCCCTGTTCAGTGCACCAGCTGTGCTGACACGCTGCAGGGGTGTGAGCTTTGTCAGAAATTGCCAAACCTGCTGGTCCCAGTCCTCACCAAGGCTCCCTCCCTTCAGGGGTGCAGACCTGTCTGCAAGGATAACCTCAACCTGTGTCAAAACAGAGGTGTGGCCACCTGTGCCACAGGGCTGATGCCATCTGCCTTGTCTGCCAGCCCCAGGGCTAATTAGAGCCAGTGACACAGCTGGGACGGTCTCCTCCCCATTACACCACCTCTCCTCACGCTCACGTTCTTCATCTGTTTCCTAAGGTTTTCTTTTGCAACACCCTGCAACCCCCATCAGCGCTGGGGACCTCCTCCTCCCCTGCCAAGGGCTGAATCCCCCTTCATGTCTTCGCAGATGATCCAGCTGCTGCCCATTACCTGGTGTACACCTTGTGGAAACTGAACCGAAAGCAGGAGGCAGCTGCTTACTGGCAGAAGTTCTTCCAGAGGCCTCCTGGGGAGGACGGGCAGGAAAGGTGTGTAGCGGCGTGGGTGGGTTCTCAGCTGGCCACATGAGAGCTGCAGCGGTGCAGTCTGTGTTTCAAACCGAGCGGGACAGTTTAGCTCAGGTCCTGCTGGGCCTGCACCCGCAGCTTAGATTTGTCTGAGGGGGTTCCCCCCACATCTGCTCTGAGACACCATGGGCTGTGGCTCTCTGCAGGGACACCCTCTGACACGAAAGAGCTGACATGGGGCCACGTAGCAGGGCAGAGGCTGGGGGTTCTGCAGAATCGGGGGTTCCACACAGTGCAGGGGGAGGGAAATTCTTAATCTGTGGCAAGGGAATGCCACAGTCCTTGCTGCTGCAATGCTCCCTTCTGTTCCAGGACCTTGCCATTGTACCTGGTTTCATGTCTGAAGCAGGCGATGTTTCCAGCCAGTGAATCTTTAGCCAGAATCATACAGGATTACCTCAGGACCACAGACTAGAACCTGTTGAGCTATCCCAGTCGGTCTCCTTATCCCCACCTGCTTAAGTCTCCCTGTATCAGGCTGTCATGAGGCCTTTAAGGACTCCTCTAAGACTCAGAATTACTCTTGAATAAACCTGGATTCCCAAGAGACTGAAACAGAATAAATCTCATTTTTTAAAAGCTTCAGCTTTCTTTTTCTGCGCCCTTTTTCCAGAACAAATGTTGACATGCCCTGGAGCTGGTGTGAGCCCATGGCCTGTGCTCTGTCTTCGTGGGAAATCAAGGGCAAAGATATCATCATCATCATCTGCTGTTTGGGGTGGGGCCAGGCAGTCTGATAAAAGCAAAGGGCTGGCGCACCGCCTGCCCTACCCATGTTTTGTATACTGGCTTCTTACTCGGTCAGTGTAGTTTGGAGCCCAGAGAAGTGTCGGTCGAAGCACACAGCTCTGAGGTCTGAATTTCCACCACGCTGCACAAGCCAGGGATGGTGGCAGGGTCCACACCTGTGCCCCGGGGGGGAGGGTCTGTGCCAACAGCCCTGTGTGGCTCTGAACACCTGCCTGGGGTTCGGTGCAGCGAATTTTGGGTGACTGCATAAGCCGAGCCTTCGGCAAGCCCTGTCTCCCAAGAGGAAAAACGGGAGCTGCAAGGCAGAGTTGGGAGAGAGGAAAGAGAGCATGAGGAAGCGCAGAAGGGTGAGGTAGGTGCTGCTGCGGCCCCCCACCCCCCGCCGAACGCTGGAGGGGCTGTCGTGGTTTAGGCCTGATTGGCATCCAACCACAACGCAGCAGCTCTCTCTCCCTTCCCCTCCGGCAATGAGAAGGGACAGAGAGCCAGGCTTGGGGTTCAAGATAGGACTGGGATGGGGGAAAATCCCCCTTTTATGATCACGAGCAAAAGGCAGACTCGTTAGGGGAAGAAAAAAAAGAACATACATTTATTACAGACACTAACAACACATAACAGAGTAGGACAGTGAGAAGCATTGCCACATCTTGAGAACACCTTCCCCCCACCCCTCCCTTCTTCCCGGGCTCAGCTCTGCTCCCGATATCTCTACCTCCTCCCCCAGTGGCGCAGGGGCAGGGAATGGGGGGTGCAGTCAGCGCTGCCACTTCCTTCATCTTCGGTGAGGGGAGTGTCCGGAACTTGTTACCCCCTGCTCCATCGTGGTCCCCCTCTCACAGGAGACAGTCCTCCACAAACTTTCTCCGACATGAGTTCCTCCCATGGGCCGCAGCGTTCCCCACACTGCTCCGTCATGGGTCACTAACTTCCTCCGACTGGATTCCCTCCCACGGCTGCAGCCCTTCCCGAGCTGCTCCGGCGTGGGACTCCCCCGCATGCTGCAATCCTCCCAGCTCTGAATTACAGCAGCGGGGCTGCCTTTTCCCATGAGACCCCGGCCTTCTTCGGGCACAGCACCTTGATCAGACGAGCAGAAGCCACAGGCCATAAATCAATGTCTGCTCCACTGTAGATCTTCATGGGTGGCAGGGGGGGCCGGCCTGCCGTCTCACCACAGGATACAGGGGGGTCTCTGCTCCGGCACACCTCCCCCCTCCTTTCTTCCTGCGTTCCTCCACTGACCTTGGTGTTCATGCAGCTGCAGCAACTCCTCCTCACAAGTCCCACTGCCCGTCACCACGTCCCTTCTTAAATACGTTATCGCAGAGGCGCAGCTGACGGGCTCAATTTCCCAAACAGAAGTGGAGCTGATGTGGAGCTGGGGGAGCTTCGAGAAGCTTCTCACAGGGGGCCGCCCCGATAGCCCCCTCCCCTGCCACCAAAAAACTCCACCACTCACTCAAACCCAGGACAGGGGCAGCGGGGGAGTTTTGGGGTGAGTTTTACCCTGCAGGTCCCTGACACGACGGGTTCCCCCGCAGGAAGCAGGGCCGGGCCTGAGGGCACAGCGCTGCCGCGAGTGCGCCAACGGGTTGGGAACGGGGCCAGGGGGGCGTTCGCTGCAGCCCTGACAAAAATAATCCGGAAAGAGAAAAAAAATGACCAAAAAACCCCATACCTAACGCGGTAGACGAGATGCGTGCTGCCCCAGGCCGACAGCGCGCCGCTTAGCGCCTCCCCCCGCCCTAGGCCCCCGAGCGCCCGCCCCCCGCCCCTTTTGATTGGCTCTCATCCTGCCGCCCGTTTCCCTTCCCTCGGGCGGCTAGCCAATGGCGAGGCGAGACTCACAAGGCCACCGGGGCGGCATTTCCCGCCCGGATTTTCCCACTGGTGGAATTTTGCCATTGGCTGCCCGGTCCGTGTTGCCAGGTAGAACAGCCGCGGCGCTGCGATTGGCTGGAGGGTGTTGAGCTGGGGAAGGGAAAAGGGCGGGGCGGAGGGTGGAAAGCGCCTGGTTTTTTAGGTTTTGGTTTTTTTTTTTTTTTTTTTTTTTTTTCCGCCTCATCCTCCTCGCTTTCCCCCCCTGTCATTGGCCGAGGCGCCGGCCGGGCGGAATTTCTGATTGGCCAACGCGCGCTGTTGCTAGGCAGGTAAGGCGGCGGGAGGCGGAGTTCCCCCCCCCCCCCCCCCCCCCCCGCCTCACCCGATGAGTCGGCTCTGAGGGTTCAGTCAGTGCGAAGCGCCCGGACCTGCCGACATCGCCGGCTCGCCCGAGACCCTTCGCCCGCCGCCCCCGCCGGAGGAGCTGCCACCGCCCGCCTCCCCTCGCCCCTTTCCCCCCCAGCGCCATGGCTTCGGGATCCGAGTAAGTGCGGGCCGCCCGCCGGCAGGCCGAGGCCTAGGCGCCGCTGGGCCCGGGCCGGCCTAGCCCGCCTCACCTCGCCTCAGCGCGGCGGGCCCGATCCGCCGCCCCGTCCCGCTGAGAGGAGGCGGGGGCCGTGCGGCGAGGAGTATGGGCTGCTTCCCGCGCATCGCCGCCGCCCGCCTTATCTCCCCCACACCCCCCCCCCCTTCTCCCGGCCGGGCCTCCCTGGGAAGTGTCGAGTCATGGAGGAGGAGGGAGGCGGGGGGGGGGAGGCCGAGGTTTGGCCACGCCGGGCCTCCCCGCCGTGCCCCGGGGCCGTCCCGCCTCGGGTAGGCCTTAGCCAAGGAGGGCTTTGTCTTCCCGGCCCCGGAGCCGGCGGGGCAGCGAAGGGGGGAGAGGCACGTTCCGGTCTCCTCCTCGCAGCGGCCCTCGGGCCGGGGCTGGCGGGTGACTTGGCGTTAGCAGAGGCAGACATGTTGTGCCGGGGCCGGCCCCTGTGGTGGCTGAGGCAATCGGCTATATTTTCGTCTCCGGTGTCTTGCCTCACTCTGTTTTCAGTTCCAGGCTGAGGATCATCTTTCGTGCTCCTCAAAAGTGAGTTGAGTAATAGGGGCCTCTCTGCTCCCAGCCCACATGCGCAAGCCACTTTGTTGCCCCCCGAGAGGAGTGAAAATAGAACCTAAAGATAAATTTCGCAAATACAAGAACACTTGAAGTGACTTTTTGGCCTTGCCAGAGGCTCCTTCGGCCCCTTTAATTTCCTCTGTTCTTTTGGAACTCCTGAAATTTACACCTGCTTGGTCCAACTGAGTCAGTTCTAGCAAGGTGCGCCGAGAATTAAGTGTCTGTGGTAGAGCTTGTGGTGGAAGTGATGGTCTTGGGGCCACGTTTGGCAGCTGAGTGAGGTGAACAGTGTCTTTAAAAAGAAATTTTTACTTTAGTGAAGTTCTTACCATGCAGAAATCAACAAAAATTACTCTGCAACTGGAAAATAGTTACTTTTTAGTTGCCATTTTTGGGCCAGTGCTGCTGGCAGCCATCTTGCTGAATTGAGCCTTCGCACAGCAAGTAGCATTGCACGAGGTGAGAGTGCGGTTTCTGAAGAGATTCTTGTTTTCGTGTGCATACCTGTCTGAAACAGTGTTTGAGAAGCTGGCATCTCAAGCACGGATATGAACTCACTGCTTGGTTGTCATGTGCTGTTCCAGTAAGTGGCTGCAGTCATCGCATACCTCACTCGTTTGCTTCAATGGATAAAATATTTTACGGGCTTTTTTTTTTTTTTTTTTTTTTTTTTTTTAATACCTACCTGGGAAAAGCAGTTCAGTCTGTAACATGGATGTTCATTATGGTAAGAAACTGTCAGAAGTGAGTTCATGAAGATACTGATAAAAAGGCACACCGGTGGAAGACATGACTGCTTTCACTTTCATTGCTGCAGCTGGAATAATTTTGAGTCAGTGGCTTTGTGCTGTATTTTTAGCACAGACTTGCAGGAACAATTTATTTCCTTAGTTTAAGTAGAGCTTTGGAGGTTAGTAGTTGTTTTCAGAAGAATCACTAATTGACAGTTACTTTCTGCTCTTGTTCTTCATACCATCCACCATAATGCATAGCCTATAAGCATTATTACACGCTGAATGAGGGGAGCTCTGACACAGAGAAAAAGTGATGTAAGTTGTAAAAAGACCCTGCCCCACCTCTTCCCTGTGTCAGATGGGGCTATTGGACTGTTTATGGATAGAGAAAAGGGGTCTGAGGATGAGAATGGGGAACCCATTATTGCTGGTCTTTAAGGCTAGTAGATATTTGCTTCAATTTTGTTGATGTCTTGTGCTTTATATGCAAGTTTGACCATTAGCTGTGCTGGGGATTATGTCCTCACTTCTGGCCTCTGTCTAGGGGCAGGCTTGATGAAGGCTTTAAATTTTCTTTTAATTCCAAAACAGCTCTAAAGCTATGTTTTGTGTTCAGTTTATCTCTTTGTTGAGTCAGTGAAAGAAAGGAGTGAGAGGGAAAGTGTGTGAGGGAGCTGACAAAAGGGGTGAGTAGGGGAGATGATCTAGAGGATTTGCACCAGGCTCTTTCTGATGAGGAGCTTTAGAAATTACCTAGGTTAGCTGTCTGTCCTACCCCTTACTGAAGTTCACCAGCAGGCATACCAAAGTCGGCAGGAGAGAGCCCCCACCCATGCCTCAGGCTTTCCTGCTTAGTATTTTCAGTTCAGGCTCTCCTTCCCTGATGCAGATGTCTGGGATTGTCTGAGCATGGATGAGGTGCACAGATATATTTTGCTCTGTCATTTCAGTTACAGCAGGAGGAACTCCCAGGAGGGATACAATGAGGGCAAATGGTGATAATAATATTCTAAATTACTACTGAAAGATGGGTAGTGCTTGTCTCTCAAAGTCCTTACCCTTGCTTGTGGGAGAAATAACATCACTCTCCTGTGTAGCTGACATGT